ACTTACAATATATGAAAATGTGGGTATATATATACATATGAATATGTGGTTTGTGGGAAATAAGGGTATGGGGATGCAGGTGGCCTCAGGCTCCTGATTCCCTCCAAAAGCAGTGCAACCATAGTGTTACTGCCCTCCATAATGGTGGCCGGCGACTGCTCCTGCCGCTCCATCACTTGGCTTCATCTGCTGTCTCCAAAACTCCCTCATTTCACCCATCTGTTGGCATAGGAGAGCAATATCTCCTGTATGCCCCTGCCACCTCCAACCGGGCGGCTGGGCACTTGTCCCTGAAGAAATAATTGGTGTAAAACATATGACATGTCCTGGCGTGGGTATATGTTTAAACAGAAATAAGCATTGGTTGGTGCAGCCAGAATATTGCAGAACTTATCAGGTAACTCAGAGTTCCTCTGCAGTTGGGAAATGCTCCTTGTGCTTTCAGTTGACCTGAGAGAGTCATCTTCGCACTGCTGTGTCGTGCTGCCCATTGTTTCGTCGAGACCTCCCATCTCTGTTGTTGCTTCTACAGAGAGTTATAAAAATGAATGGTTATAATCCAGGTAGAGTTTACACTTCATGCTCATCATTTGTTTTCATCGTGGGTTTAATTCTTGACCAGTAAGGACATGATTAACCTCTTAAAGCACGCTGTGCCGCTGGCGTAGCAAAAAGTTCTTTGAATGATTTAAGAGGTTAACCACACATGTATCAACATATTTAACACGTTTGTACTTTTCTCCAGAACAATCGGCCATCTAGCATGATGCATCTAGGTTGGCTTAGACAGATTATAGCAACTAGTGCTAAATTACTCACCTGGGTCAGCTGCATCAAATCCGATATCCACCCCGTGTTGTCCGGCTTGGGACAGAGGTCACCTCCCTAGCAGATCATCCAAAAGTTCGTAGAACAACTGACCGGTTCCGGTCCACTTCTTGAGTTATTCTGCTTGGCGCCATTGTACGCCTACCGTATGTTTTTCCATTTGATTCTGATCTGCTCCGGTGTCCTGATGAAGCCACCGTCTTGGAAATATTTTTGAATAGATCTGCGTTCCTCATTCCTTGTACTTGGTTAAGCATGAACCGGGTCTCCTTGTTCGTCCAGAAGTGAGTTGTTGATTTCGTCTAAACTATGGTGTCATTTGACCTTTTCCAGCAACAACACTACTAGTTATTACCATAGACTGTATATAAAGAGCGTTATTACCAGAGCCTTCTCCTTCCACTTCCGGGTGAACGCCCCGGCGGAAATTCTGGAGCATGCACAGTATGCAAAAATCGATTTAGATATAATTGTCGAGGTGTTCTTTTCCGATTTTGTGATGTCCAATGTCCGGTGTTTACATGCATTTTAAAAGTCCAAACTCTGTCTTATACGATCAGAAATTCAGTTCTGCATGTAACTCCACAGTGTGTAGAATTCAGTGACATCTAGTGGAGAAGTTGCATGTTGCAGCTGAACACCCCTCACCCTCTGTTCCCAACATGAAAGAGAACCTGTGGTGGCCTTCAGTTGTCATACAAACTCAAAAGGTGTTTAGTTTGTCCAGTCTGGGCT